CTAAAGTAGGCTCATAGATCCTTTGTCTTGTTTATTGCATTAGTGATTTTAACTAAAGAAACTATGTCCTTGATAGTTTTATGTCTACTTAACACACACTAAAGTCATCTGAGAGGAGGGAACCTCAGTTAAGAAAATGCCTCCACAAGATGGGCCGTGGGCAAGCCTATAGGGTATTTTCTTAATTGGTGTTTGATGGAGGAGGGCGCCACCTATTGTGGGTGGTGCCATCCCTGGGCTGGTGGTCCTGGGTCCTGGGTTCCTATAAGAAGCCATGGGGAGCAAGCCAGTGAGAGGCCCCTCCATGGCCTCTGCATCAGCTCTCGTCTCCAGGTTACTGCCCAGTCTGATTTCCTTTGATGATGAACAGTGATCTAGAAGTATTAGCCAAATAAACTTTTTCCTCCCAAATTGCTTTTTGGTCATGGTGTTTTGTCGCAGGAATAGAAACCCTAAGTTATAATGTCTAATCTACATGAACCCCTGTACTCAATAACCCCTCTCCGAGAGAGGGGGGTGCTTACAGACTTGCATAGAAGCCAATTCTGCAACAACTAAGGCCTTGACAAATCCTCTTTAAAATAATGGGAAGAGTCTGGAAATGCATGCCCATAATTCTCAGCACCCAGGAGGATGTGGTAGGAAGATTAAGGATTTGAGGCCAGTGTAAATGGACACGGTGGTGTAACAAGACACATTCCTGCTCTTCCAGGGAACTGGAGTTTGGTTTCCAGCACCCATGTTGGGTAGCTCTACAAATGTCTCTAGCTCCAGCTCCACGAGATCCAACATCCTCTCCTGGCCTTCAAAGGACCCTCACATACATGCACATACCTGACATACACTGACACAGATACAGATCCATACACACAAATAATAAAATTCTGAAAAAAAAAAAAAGTAGTGGTAAATTGAGTATGATGGTCCACAGCAGTATTCCAACCTACTTCTAAAAGGGTTGCAAAACCAAGACTTGCTGGTGCTATAGAATAAGTTCAGTGCCAGCCTAGGTGACCACTCAAGACCCTGTCTCAAGAAATGAAAGTAAAAAATGGGCCCAGGGGTGGAGGGTGAATGAAAAATCTTTCCACTGATATAAATTAGCAGTGAGTAAAACTTGGAAAATGTCTGTCTGCCAGCTTTTATGGCTGTCAGGAAGCGGGCGTTTGGTCAGAAAGGGCTTGTACAAAACTCTAATGCTATTAGTGCAAGCAAATAGCCCAGTGTCCCTACTACTATCATCCCTTCACGCCATGGGCATAAATCACTCAAAAGACTTCTTGACACTTTAGCTGCCTCATGAAGTGTCCCCACCTCCAGGATTAAGTCCTCTGAAAGACATTCTTCCATAAATAAGATCCTCACATAAAAACAAAGTGCTGGTCTTGTTTTTCCCCAACTTGCCTTTTTTTTAAACACAGAATTCAATTCTCCCATTACCAGAAGGCAACATGGCTTCTGCATTCTAAGGGACCTAGTTTCTGCCTGCTTGGCCACTGCAACTTAATGATTAATGGAGAATATATATTTAGCAACATATATTCTGCTTGTACTTGGGATTTTAAAACCACTACATCAATAACCCATAAAAATATTCTGAAGGGCTGGAGAGATGGCTCAGTGGTTAAGAACACTAGCTGGTCTTCCAGAAGTCCTGAGTTCAATTTCCAGCAACCACATGATGTCTTACAACCATCTGTAATGAGGTCTGGTGCCCTCTTCTGGCCTGCAGGGATACATGCAGACAGAACATTGCATATATGATAAATAAATAGATCTTTAGAAAAATATTCTGGAAGAGTAGGCTCTTAGGGGCTGGAGATGGCTCAGTAGTTAAGAGAACTGCTTGTTGCTCTTCCAGAGAATAGGGATTTGATTCCCAAAGCCCCCATGGTGGCTCACAACTGTTTGTAACTTCCAACTCAGGGCATGATACCCCCTCTTCCGGCCTCCCCTGGCACTACACACACAGTACACAGATATTATACAAACACCCATATACATAACTTTAAAAAATATTTATTTGGTTTTTTGAGACAGGGTTTCTGTGTAGTCCTGGCTGTCCTGGAACTCACTCCGTAGATCAGGCTAGCCTCATACCCACAGGGATCCCTTATCTCAGCCTCCTGAGTGCTGGGATTAAAGGTGTACATCACCACTGCCCAGAAACTGTAGTAGGTTGTGAATCTCTTTTAATATGCAAGGCTGTTAGTAGTCTGGACTGAAAGATGTACGAGGCTCAGCTATTGTCATTGACTCTCAGTCTTAGTAATATGTATACTCAAGTGCTTCAGGCTGCCTCCTAAGCAGTTAAGAACTCTGCTCACTTCCCAGAGTTCCCTCTGCCTTCTATGCCTGTGGTAGGCTTACTTCTTCTGAGACTACCTGATAGGAGATGTTATTCTGTATATGTTTCTCATACTGATTAATGAATAAAGCACTGTTGGCCAATAGGAAAGGAAGATAGGAGGAACTAGAAGACAAGGAGGAAAGAGGAAGTAGTAAGGAGGAGTCAGGATGGAGAGCCTGGAGAGAACAGAACTGCCATTCCTCTGTTCTCGGTAAGACCACGTGGAAATACATAGAAATGGGTTAATAATTAAGACAGAGCTAGCCGATAAGAAACTAGCACCTGGCCAATAGCATTGTATGAAATAGAGTGTGTGTTATTTGGGGCTGGCGCGCCGGCGGGACAAGACCAGGCGGTGGGCTGAAAAAACTTACTCGTTACAACTACCCCACATTGAAAATGTAGGTTTCTGACTCCAAACTCCAATTCCACTTCCTTTGGCAAATTCTCTTACTAGATGCCCTTAATTCCTATCTAGTACATGAATACAAGCTTTTGCTGTAACAAGCTTTTTTGTTTGGTTTGAGGCAGTCTCACTATATAACTTTGGCTGGCCTGGAATTTGCCCTGTAGACCAGGCTAGCCTTGAACGCACAGAGATTCACTGCCTCTGCTTCCCGAGTGTTTGGAGTAAAGATGTGATGTGGGTCACCATGCCCATCCAGTGTTTTTTCTTTGCTTGTTTTTTCACATGTGCTTGGTTGGGGAAATGGCGTGTCCCAGTATTTAGGCATTTTACTGGCTTACCTTTAGAGTTCTGACAAGATACTCCCGCAGATGCTGCCACTAAGAGCGGCACCTGTGCCCATTCATTATGGTCCCTTTTAAAAGGGCCCTGTCCAACTCCCATTCCCCTCCCACTCTGCGGCTCCATCCTCTTCCCTGTTCCTGTCCCTGGAGGCTGGCCTCCCCTCCTCCTCTCTCCCCTTTTTACAATCCTTTTTCTTGTGACAATGGTGTAGATTCTTTTCCTAAGTCTCCTCTAAACAGTTCTGGGTTCCACAGCACTGCAACCATTGCTTCAACTTATATAGCCCACTTAAGTGTCACACCTAAGTCCTTAAAAAATTAAAATTTGTTTTTTAAAAAGCTTTTCTTATGTGGAGTGGAGCTCATGGCAGGAACTGTAGCCAGCACGGCATCTGAGTACAAGACCAAGCTATCCAAAAGTCTACAATTCGTGAAGTTCATACAGAGGGCACTAGGCTTGAACCCAAGAAACATAAACATCATTAGTGAGGAACACTGGTGGTCCGGTTTGCCAGAGCTTGAAGAAAGAGAAGGCTTCATGATAGAGCAGGACTCATTATGTAGAGATCTGTTTTATGAACAAATGCCATTTAGGGATTTCCAAGGCTGAGAAGTTAATGTTTCAGATGAGTATTAAGAACAAAGCAGAAGATTATCAAAATGCCACAGTGGAACTTGAAGAAACTGATGAAGAAATGTCTAGAAAATATGAGACCTTGGTGGAAACAACTGCCAAGACAGATTGTGCCAATTATGAAGATGAAAATGGAAATAGAAACAAAATTTAAGCAAAGATATTCTTAGAGCCTAAATTAAAATGGAAGACTCAGAATAACTCAGGAGTGCCCAGAACAGCATAATTTGGAGCATAACATAATTTGTAACTAATCTTGATGACCTCTATAGTTGTTACTGCTCTAATGTTGACTTGTAAAGAAATCCAGTTTTGAAAACACACTGCTCTTGAGACAGATGTGTGATGAACATTATACATCCTTTTCCTAGTGGCATCCTTTTGTTTTAAAGATTTATTGCTATTTTTTATATATGGCTGTTTTGCCTGCAAGTATGTCTATGTGACATGTATGTGCCTGGTGACAGAGGACAGTGTCAGATCCCCTGGGACTGGCATTACAGATAGTTGTGAGCTACCTTGTGGGTTCTGGAACTCAAACTCAGGTCCTCTGGAAGAGCAGCAAGTGCTTTTAAGCACTGAATAATCTCTCCAGTCAGCCCCTTCAATGGCATTCCTCAAGGTGGAGCTTCAGCCCTTGATCTTCAAATATACATGTACACATAGCAGACACATGTACAGAGAGAGAGAGAGAGAGAGAGAAAGAGAGAGAGAGAGAGAGAGAGAGCACTCCCCATTTACTGACCTGGAATACATTGCTATAAATTAGTGCCATTGTTTAAACTGCCCTTATATTTACATTTTTACTTTATTAACCCTGACAAGTCAATTTACATACTTTAGAATCAAATGTTATAACTCAGCGAATACAGCTTATCAAGAACACCCATTCTCCAGCCTGAAGTATTTGAATGTAATGATGTTATTGTCAGTTTGTAAGAGATATTTTTTGTTTCTCTGTTTACATAGGCAGTAATTGCGTTACTTTTTGATGTTCTATAAAAAAGCTTTTCTTTTGGCTGGGCAGTGGTGGTGCATGTCTTTAATTCCAGCACTTGGGAGGCAGAAGCAGGTATATCTCTGAGTTGGAGGCCAGACTGGTCTACACAATGAGTTTCGGGACAGTCAGAACTACACAGAGAAACACTGTTTTGGAAAAACAAACAAAAAAGCTGTTCATTCTAATGATCAATGGCTTTCAATGGAAAGTTTAGCAGATAAATATGTCTAATAGACATATACAAATATGATACATATTAAGAAGAGTAAGTAACACAAAATCCAAATTTTACTGGGCATTTTATACTTAATCCATTCTTGAAAAAGTCCTTTCTGTTATCTACAAATAATGAAGGAACCACTTCCCTTATGCACAAAACCAAAGATATTTTATATAATAAGGTAGGTAAAGCAATATATTCTACATGAATTCAAATACTAAATGGTCACAGACTATAGAAACAACCTCTATAGGCATGGAATAGAAAGGTTATTTTTCAAGTAATTCAGATATCAACAGGGGTCTGGCCAAATTTGTTTGGGGGGGTGCTGGGGGAAAATCTCTTGTTTTTATAAAACCAAGCAGACTCACGAGTCTGACAATATAACGTATTTTCCCTGTAATATCATTAAGTGGAAAATGGGCTTCATAGGACACAAGAATAAATCCCTCACATTCAAAGAATGCAATAAAGCCGGCTGGTGGCACAGGCCTGTCATGCCAACTAATTGGGATACCAAGACTGGGGGACTGAAAGTTCAAGGCCTGCCTGAACTACAGAGGGAAATTCTGTGAGACTCTGTCTCCAGATAAAAGGTAAAGCAGTCGAGGAATATAATCCAAGTGCTGGAGCTGTGGTTCCCACCCTTCCTAATGCTGCGGTTCTTTAACTTAACTCCTCATGCTGTGGTGACACACAATCAGAACATTACTTTCTTTGCTACTTTATAACTAATTTTGCTTCTGTTATGAATCATAATGTAAATATTTCGTATGCAGGATATCTGATATGTGACTCCAGTGTGACTGATAGAACCGCTGTGCTAGAGTGCTTGCCTAGCAGGTACAATGCCCTGGGTCCATTGTGTGTGGGGGGGAGGGGAGGAGGGAGGGGGAGGGTGCAACCACAAAAAATAAAAAAAGAAAGAGAAAAATGACAAAGAAAAAGGAATATATCTAAGAGATTGAGGCAGGGAAACTGAAAGTTCAGAACTAGGGCTACCTATAAGACTCTGTTGAAACGAAGGAGGGAGGAAGGAAGAGAGGGAAGGAGGGAGGGAGGGAGGAAAGGAAGAAGGGAGGGAGGATGGAAAAAAGAGTATTTCATTTGCCTTACTAATTGATTCTGGTTACTGGTGTTCTAGCTAATCAAACTGTGATCCTTAGTTTAAGATGATGCTTTATACATAGCTATACACATATATACAAACAACTCTGAAGATAGAGATGTTAACTCCAAATTTTGGAGCTTTGGAGGTGCTACAAATTATACTGGGTTCCAACCAGTGATTAAGTTGAGGTAACAGCATTTGGACTTGGCCTTAACATTGTGTAGAGGAGAGTATTGTGGCCAAGACTACAAGTTTCCTGTTCATTAATTAATAATGGTAGAACAAAACACTCCTGGGTTAAATTAAATAAAATGAGAACAGGACATGATAAGAAACCTATAGAATTCTACTATTCCAGGTTTTTCATACTGGTACAAGGGTCATCTGTCATTGTGTCAGATTTTGATAGAGAAGGATGACCCACAGGAGCAGCCTTGCTGGGCTTGAGGATTATTCAGCACTTGAAATGAGCTTCGGATAAGTTCTTGGCTGAAGTCCACCTGGGCCCCTTTCACGAAGGCCAAGCTATCAGAGTCAACCACCACTCTCGCCCCGCCCTGTTCAAATACCCTGAAAAGACAAGAGGAAAGCATTAATGACCAGCATCACAAACACCAAGAACCCAGCACTCTGAGACCATAGGTGCACGTCTTGTTCTCAATCCATAGAACATTGCTTAGGACTTCCATCGGGTGCTGACTCTCTCTGGAACACAGAGATTCAATGTAATGAAATAGGAGAAATATTTAGGGACTTGGCCTGAATCTAGTCCAGCCTCTCTCAACTGACTACCCAATGGAGTCTAAGTAAGCCAATGTTCTTCCTTATTTTGAAACAAAAGGACAAATCTTTGCTGTATCCTCACAGTATGGGCAGGGTGGTGGTGTTAAGCATACTTAAACTTTTAAGTTTGGAATAAAAGTGTTTCTTGAACTGGGGTCATTTGTATCCCTCTGAAAAAGCCTCTAGCGACCCATCCGTCCTCCTTGCCTGTCGTCGGGGTTAATAACTGTATCCAGTGAAAATTTGTATTGGAATCCGGAGCATCCACCTCCCTCCACTTGCAGCCTGAGGAATTCTGACCCTTCGGTGATTTCCAGAAGCCTCTGAAATGGAGGAAAGAGGATCAGGAACGCCAAGCAGGCGGGGATAAAGGGGTGGGTGAAATGGAACTCTTCTAGAGCCCTCTCGGGCACCGCCGCCCCGCGTCTGGCCTCCTACCTGGACGCAGCTGTCTGTGAGGCGGATCTGTCCCTCGCCAGCCTCTGGAATGGAGGACGTCGCTTCCCACCGGGTCAAAAGCCCGGGAGAGGACGCGAGGAGCCTGCGATGTGGAGGAGGAGGATGAGTCCGGGACTGAAGTGGCACCTGATGATGACCTTTCAATGGTCGCCTCGCACCCACTCCTGGCGACACCTTTATCTGAACTGGCAAACCCTGAAATCCCCCGTGAGCTTTAGTCTCACGTCTATCCTGGAGGTGCAGAACCCAACACCCTTCCTCCTAAGTGACCTTCCACCCTTGGTACCTGCCCCGCGGCCAGGGAATGGCCGCCCTGAACGCCGCAGCCGTTAGGGACAAGGGCCTGGTGGCCGCCATCTTGCTCCTCAGGCTCCGCCCCTGAGGGGGGTCCAAATCCCCGCCTTAGCCTCCGGGAGGCGGGGAGATGGGGGCAGGGGCGGGGTTGCAGAGTCCCCGCCCCTAAGCGTGACTATTGGATAACGAGTAAAGACAGCTTTGATTGACTGAAAACGCTTCCAATTGCCGACGCGGGGCGGTACCAACAAGCGAGGGACGAGCGCCAAGAAGAGCGGGATCTCTGCAGGCCCCGCCTGGGAGCGGAAGAGATGGGCGGGCTTAAAGGGCTGGCTGCCGGCCGGGAGCCCCGGAGCCCCGGAGCCCCAGGCGGGGCGTGGGCAGGCCTTCGCTGGTTACTGGTCACAAGCGGACTGACCCGGCTCCTCCCTCGGTCCGCCGTGACAAGTTTATCTTGTGACTGCCGCCCCTGCTTTTTCCTTCCTAGACTTCAGAGCCTTCTTATCCACGATGCGTTTCCTGACCGCCACGACCCTACTGCTGGCGCTCGTCGCCGCCACCCAGGCTGAGCCCCTGCGCTTCAAGGACTGCGGTGAGCCTTGAGCCCGCTCGAGGAGACCCGCGGGCTGGGTTGGGCGGGTTCCTAGAACGTGGAGGCTTAGCCACAGACCCAGGGTGGAACGGGCTGGGTTGGGTCCGAAGGTACCACCAGCTTTGATGAAACTTAACACCGCCCCCTCCCATTCCACCCCGCACAACTTTGTCTCTCCTTGCATCTCCTTGCAACGCCTGTTTTGGGGGTAATCTCTACGCTCTCAAGGCAAACCTTGTGCTGAAGTTCTCTAAAGTTTGTTGGGTGGACATCAATCAAGCCGGCGTGTAGTCGCACCGCTCGAGGGGGTGGAGAGTGAAGGATTGCGAGTTAAGGCTAGCCTGGGCTCTGTAGTGAGACCTGGCTGGAATAAATAAATAAAAGCAAAATAAAACAATAGGATAGTCGGCGGGTCTGCATCCAACACAGGTTGAGGAAATGGGCGGGGAGAATGTCTTTTGATTTTACTGCGCGTATCTTCACCAGCCTTTCCCCTTTGTTCGTTTGCAGTCTTCTCTTTGGATGGGGGTATGAGGCAGTCTCACTTTGTAACCCAGTTTGGCATTCAAAGCTTTTTTTTTTTTCCCCTCCTTTTTCTTGCTGACAAGACAAAATTCAGTTCTTCCCGTAATTTATACTTTTATAAATTACTTTTGGACTAACGAACTTCGCGATTCTTGCCCGTGTCTTCTATAAAACCTGTATTTCTAGTGATATCTTGTGACACCTAACTCCCTCCTAATGCTGCCACTGGACTCTTTGTTAGAAAATATAACAGAGGGTAGAAATCCTGCGTTCATTCTCTCAAACCTATGCAATTGCTGGAGCAATTGGCGTGGGGGTGGGGGTGGCATTAGAGGTGGAAAGACGCAGTGATAAATGAAAGACAAAAACTGATTTTGTAAAATATATGAGCAGGAGAGAACCACAGAGGTCACAATTAATCATTGACCTAAAGAGTTGTTAGATAGGGTTGGAGAAATGGCTCAGTGGTTAAGAGAGCCCACTGTTCCAGAAGACTAGAGTTCTATTCCCATCATCCATTTCAGGTAGCTCAGAACTGCATGTATCTCCAGCTCCAAACGCCTCAGGCCTCCTCAGGTACCAGCACTCACAGGCACATGCTCACACTCAGATAACACTAATTGAGGAGGTGGGGGTTGGGTAGATTAAGTAAGCCTTCCCAAAGTCACCGGGGCTGAATGGGGAACCAAGTATGTTTCCTTGTAGCCAGTATCCAATAAGAGTAACTACTCAATAAATGCCGACTGGAAGAGTAAATGAGGGAATTAATGCTGTTTCTAATGTTATCAAAATTCCTGCTGAGGCAAAGGTGGGCATGTGGAACTGGATTGATTAATAAGGACCGATGCCTGGTAATAAGTCACAGATGCCATTTCACTAAACTAGGAGACTAGCCAAAAGTGGCTGTTTCTTTAAAGTACTGCTTTTCCACCTGCTAAACTTTTACTTTTTATTTTTAATGTGTGTGTGTGTGTGTGTTCATGTGTACCCAAGCATATGGTAGCCAGAGTACAACCCCTCAGGTGTCAGCCTCAAGAACACCATCCACTCCTTTTGATGCGTAGTCTCTCATTGGCCTCGGGCTCACTGATTAGTAGATTGGCTCAACAGGCAGCCCTGTGGTCCTCCATGTGTGTGCCACCAAGAGTGGCTTATTTGTTTGTTTGAGACAGGGTTTCTTTGTGTAGCTCTGGCTATATTGGAACTCGCTCTGTAGACCAGGCTGACTCTACCTTCTGAGTGCTGGGATTGTTTACACCACAACTACCCAGCATTCTTGTGTGGGTTCTGAGAATTGAACTCAGGTCTTCTGCTTGCAAGACAAGCACTTTATCCACAGAGATATTCCCTCCTGTCCATCTTTTGTCAGCCTTAGGACCAACACTTGGATGAAGGCACTGTATTACTTTTATTAACTCATTCTTCACCATCTATTTCACAGGAAGGAAATCAAAGCACATAGACTAACTTGCCTAAAGTCCTGCCACTAGGAAACGGGATATTGATAAGTCTCTAGAACCACTTTGGATTTCAGTATTTTTGTTGTCCTTAGTGGTTTTTGTTTGTTTGAGACAGCCATGTAGACCATCCTGAACTCACGAATTTCTGCCTACCTCCACATTAAGAAGTGCTGGGATCAAAGTCATGTACCCATGCCTACATGTTTTTAAAGGCAGGTATAGACCTCTGGGAAGACTTGTTCTTTATATTTTGTGTGTATGCATTTAGGAGGCCCACACATACATAGCATACATGTGAAGGTCAGAGGACAACTCGTAGGAATCGGTTCCCCCTTCCTCTGTGTGGGTTCTGGGAATTGTCAGCCTTGCTGGCAAACACTTTTACTTGCTGAGCTGTCTCTCAGGCCCTGGGAACTTAAAAGAAAGAGGGGTTCCCATGACAGATTGTGAATTAGGAAATACAAGGTAAAAATTTCAACCCAAATAAAAAGCCTTTGCATTCCATTCTGTGCCCACCTTCTCCTGGGGTGGGATTTCCTCAAGTGAGACATGGAGGCTCAAGCACTAATTACACAATATTTGCAGTGGGAGCTGAGGGGTTTGTTCTATTGACTTTCGAAGTCCGGGAACCTCTTGTCAGGGGTCAGAAAAAAGAACTGTAAGTACTCTTTCCTTTGATCCTATGAGATCATGTGACCCAAATTCGAAGAAGCTGGTAGAGCTGAATGCTGAAGCCTTGACCTGAGCACCGGGTTTTCAACTTTGTTTTTCCTGTCCACCAATCATGGGATGGAGTGAGAGGGTGCTTCTTACACTGCAGAGGGTGCCAAGAGCATGCACAGTGTTCAAGCAAACTAGGAGACAGGGATTACAAAGTGTCATTTACAAACCCAAGGGACTAACTAATCAATCAGTGTAAGGATGGAGGAAATTCAAGACATCTTTCCAACCTGAGGGCGAGCACAGATAGAGACAGTCAAGTGCATTCGCTCTGTCATTTCATGGTCTTCGTGAACAGTTCTAAGCTAACCTGGGAACTACGTAGCTGGCCATGTAGTCCCAACTTGTGATTTGCCTATTGTCTTCATCCTACTTTCAAGACAACAAGAGCCAATACTGTCGGCTACAAACATTATTTTTGTCCATGAAGTGTATTTACGGTGAGACGCTTAGCTTTCATGCCAGAGGAGAGGGCTTGCTTACCTTCCCAGGAGCAGATGTTTCAGTTCATGGACTGAATCCAAAAATAATGGTAATTATAACCAACAACTTGAGTGGTACCACTGTGTTCCAGATCTGTAGATATGTTGGCTCACTACCCTTAGGGCAGCTCCAGATGTTAAGTGTCTTGCCCTGAGGCTACACAGTAAGAAGTTAAACTGATAAGACTTCAAACCCAGGTGATAGGCCTAAATCCATCCATAACCCCGTCATGGCCACTAACCCCATCATGGCCACTATTGCCAGGCTGTTTTCTCCTCCCATTCTGCTGCTCAGTGTCAGGGGCTTGAATTACCTTTGTTTTGCTGACCATTTTTAAAACATAAGTAGTAGTTACAACTATATTATTTCCAGCAACTGTGCAGCCCTTAGCCTAGTAGTTTTATTAGAGAGGGAAAGAAATCTAGGGTGGAGTACTCGTAACTGGTAACTAGCACTGTTACAGGTTTGTGAAGGGTAAAAGCCTGGGCCCTGGCTGCCCCTACAAGCTAGGCTTGGACACACATCTCAAATGCCAGATAAAGGGAGCCTGGGTATGGCTCAGTGATTTAGAGTACTTGTTGCTCTTCGAAAGGATTCAGGTTTGGTTCCCTGCGCCCTCATGGTGGCTTACAACCATCCATAGTTCAGGGGATCCAGTGTGCTCTTCTGACCTCCACGTGTATGTACATATGTGTAAGCAACACAGTCACACACAGAAAATAAATAACCCTGGCCAGGAGGTGGTGTTTGCACACCTGTAGTCCCAGCACTCAGGAAGAAGAGGCAGGCTAGCCTGTTCCACAGAGTGAGTTCCAGGACAGCCAAAGCTGCATAGATAAACCCTGTCTTGAAAAATAAATAGACCTTGAAAAAAATTTTTTTCTGAAAAGAGCAAGTACTATTGAAAAGCCGAGAAAGTTTATTCAGTGTGGCCATATTGGAAAGAAGAACATGGAGTCAAAGAGGAGCCACCTGTGAAGCTTTGGGGCACTGGTAAGAGGCTCATATTTAAATCAAGGGCAGGAAAGATGAATAATAGGGTAGTCAGCTTAGGTCTGTCCTACAAGGTGGTCTGACAAGTTGTCAGAAATCTCTTCCTGGGAAGCAGGTCTCTCATCTAGCTAGCTCCAATGTCTCTCTCTCTCTCTCTCTCTCTCTCTCTCTCTCTCTCACACACACACACACACACACACACACACACACACACACTAGCCATTGGGGTCTGATACACAGTTTCTCTTCCAAAGGCCTTCTCTTCTGCTAGAATGGTTAGTGTACCAATTAGTGAAGCTGGCATTGCTTCCTTCTTGACTGAGTGAATTAGCCCTGCTTGGGAACCAAGTTTGGTGTCTGTCTGTTTGTAGCAAGGCTGGCCTCCAACTGTGCTCCTCCTGCCTCAGGCTGTCAAAAGCTGCGAGTACTGACCACTGCCTGGTACCTTGCTCAGCTGGGGCCCTGAGTGGTTTTTGGAACTATAAATATCTTGTCCTCTAGCTTCCTCTTCCTCTCTTTGGTTCAGGGAAAAGTCAAAGTTTAATGACTTAGTCAAGATTTGAGCACTTTATGACTCCAGGTCTCTTAGCTGCAGCTCCGCCCTGTAGAACGTGATTACAGGAAAGCAGAAGTACTGTGGAGAACCTCAGCTTTAAGGAGGGAACTGTTCCCTCTCTTCAGGACTATCCCTCTATTGAGGATTGAGATAGATGGTGGGTTTTAGGTACCACTGGTTTAAAAAACCAAGTTGACAAACCAGACCACTAATACAACTGTTTATTTCTTTTTTTTTTTTTTTTTTTTTTTTTTGTATTGTTTTGTTTTTGTTTTTTGAGGCAGGGTTTCTGTTTGTAGCTTTGCTGTCCTGAAACTCGCTCTGTAGACCACACTGGCCTAGAACTCACAGAGATCTGCCTGCCCCTGTCTCTGAGTGCTGGGATTACAGTTGTGTGCCACTCCCGCCTGGCTGAGAAACAGCTCTTAAAAGCTGCCCTCTGACCTTCACACATGCACTGTGGCACATATGCGTGTACACATACATACACAATAAATTAATTGAAAAAAATTCAAAACAAGATATGAAGATCCCTGAGTTCAATCCCCAGTACCCCTGCAAAATAAAAGGGGGGGGGGAGGAGAAAGAGAAAAAGTAAGACAAGAATATAAGAGCATTTAGGCTTTAGGCTTTTTTTTTTTTTTTTTTTTTTTTTTTTTTTTTGAGACAGGGTTTCTCTGTATAGCCCTGGCTGTCCTGGAACTCTGTAGACCAGGTTGTCCTGGAACTCACAGAGATCCACCTGCTCCTGCCTCCCAAGTGCTATGATTAAAGGTGTGTGCCACCATGACTTTTTTAATACAGTCCTTTAATACAGTGTTCTGTGAACATGGCCTCACTGTATTTCTTAATCTGACAAATATTAGTATTCTTTTTGCCAGGAAATGAACTACCTTTTCATTCAGTTTATAGGATTGATTTTGGCAGTACCAAAATTCTCAACTTAGATGTTAGAGAGAGGAAGATGTATGATGTACCTATAGATGTGCACATGTAGAGATCAGAGGAAGCCGCAGAGATGGGTACTTGCTTCTGCCTTGTTTGAAATAGGGTCTCTTTACCGCTGTACTGCCTGCATCCTACAGGCTAGCTGACTGGAAAGCTTACAGGCTTCTCCTTTCTCTATGTCCATCAAATACACACTGCCACATCCACCTTTATGCAGGTTCTGGGGATTCAAACTTAGGGCCCCATACTGTGCGGCAAGTGCTTTACCCATTGAGCCGGCTATCTACCCAGCTCCAAATTCCCGCCTTTAATCAGACAAAGTACTCTCAGGAAAGCAGTCAGAAGAAAAGAAGTACACCATGCACCTCCCTGTGAGGCACCGGCAGCCTCAGGGATGTATTTTTCCTCCTATTCTAACCACTTTTCTTTCTTTGCAGGGTCTAAAGTTGGACTTATAAAGGAGGTGAATGTGAGCCCGTGTTCCACCCAGCCCTGTGAGCTACACAAAGGCCAGTCTTACAGTGTCAATGTCACCTTTACTAGCAGTAAGTAAATGTGATTTTTACTTCCAATTCAGGCTAAACCATAATATAAATGCTAGGCGCTAGAATGAGCTTAGGAATGTTAGGGGACCATGGCTTAACTGTCGAGAATGTGTCGGCCCCCTTCCTGACTTGCACAAAGCTAGGGTTCATGCTGTTGCTGGCCAGGACAGAACCTGGGTCCATAACTCTCCATTACTTGTCACATTCTGAAAGGAAACCTGAGGACTGGATTGATAAAAGGATCATGTTTACCTTACAGTTCTGGCTACAGATAGGGAGGGAAAAACTTCCTGTAGTAGTGGTTTCACAATGTATAAAAAGGATGACTTAAGAGCTAGGAACTGGCCAGTCTGGTCTCAGAGTGAGATATGTGTGAAATGGCTGTGTGGGTAACAGCACTTGTCACCAAGCTAGATGACTTAAGTTCAGTCCTAGAACCCACCTGGTCAAAGGAGGGAACCAATTCCTACAAGTGCATTGTGCTATACCATACACACACACACACACACACACACACACACACACACACACACACACTAAAGGCACTAGAGAGAAATGGCTGAGTAGTTAAAAAGAGTTTGCTGCTCTTGAAGACCTGAGTTGGATTCCCAGCACCTGTAACTCTAGCTCCTAGGCTTCCAATGCCCCTCCTCTGGCTTGCACAGGCACACACACACACACACACACACACACACACACACACACACACGTAAATGAAAATAAAATTTAAAAACATTTAAAGAACCTAGACCAGTACGAAATGCTTATTTATGGGAACATCTATCTTTAATCCTTCCCTTGTTTACTGTCCTATTAAAAAAAAAAATTAGGCTGGGGAGATGGCTTGGCTAAGAGCACTTATTGCACAAACACAAGGACCTGAGTTCAAATCCCAGTGCCCACATAAAAAGCTGAGTGTGGACACACACATGCCTCTAAGTCTAGTGCTGTGAGTACCAAGGCTGGAGCACAGAAGGCAGAGGATTGCTGGCCACCAGCCCAGCCCCAGTTCAGTGAGTGTCTTAGTTAGGGTTTCTTTTGCTGAAAGCAAAAGGGTTTATTCAGCTTACACTTCTGTATTACTATTAATCACTGAAGGAAGTCAGGATAGGAACTCAAGCAGAGCAGGAACCTGGAGACAGGAGCTGATGCAGAGTCCATGGAGGAGTGCTGCTTATTGGCTTGTTCTCCGTGACCTGCTTGGCCTATTTTCTTAGAGAACCCAAGACTGCCAGCCCAGGGATGGAACCACCCACAATGGGCTGGGCCCTTCCACATCAATCACTAATTAAGAAAGTGCCCTACAGCCCGATCTTATGGAGGCATTTTCTCAATTAAAGTTCTCTCCTTTCAAATAACTCTTATTTCTGTGTCAGGTTGACATAGACTAGCCAGCACAGTGAGAGTCTATCTCAGAGCACTCCTGTAAGAACTGGAGAGAGATGGGGCAGAACGCAGGATGCCTTCCTATGGCCTTCTGCCTATACCCCTGTGAATACACACACACACACACACACACACACACACACACACACACTCACATGAGGCATTCTAAGTGGAACCTATGCCCCCCTACACAGAAAGAATGAAATAGCCACATGTAGTAGTTGATGCCTATGATCACACTATGGAGGATGAAGCAAGAGGAATTCAGAGCTAGCCTGGACTAAATAGCAATATCCTTTCTGTGAATTTGAGGCCAGCCTGATCTGCAGTGTGAGTTCCAGGACATCCAGGGCTACACAGAGAAACATGTCTTGAAAAACCACACACACAAAAAATAGTTTTTAAAGACAGGGTCTCACTTTGCAGCCTTAGTTGGCCTAGAACTCACTATGTAGACCAAACAGACCTTGAACTTAAAGTAACAGAGATCCCCCTGCTTCTGCCTCCCTAGTGCTAGGATTAAAGGCATGTGCCACCGTGCTGTAGGGAGACAGCCCAGTAAGTAACATGCTAGCTATACAAACATGAGGACATCAGTTTGGTCTGCAGAATCCATGTAAAATCCAGAAATGGTCATCCTGGCAACAGGCTTGTAGTCCCAGCACTGGGGAGACAAAAACAGGCAGATCCCTGGCAGTCAGCCTGGCCAAATCAGTGAATTCTAGGCTAGTAAGAAGACTGTCTCAAAAAACAAGGTGCATGGCATCTTGAGGCTGACCTCGGGCTTGTGTTCACACACAAACATGCACACATGTTCTTAAACAAACAATTGAAGGGCCACTTTCTGTCTGTTGACAAGGCTGAGTAAACATCACAGGACGCTGGCTTTGCCCTAACAGTATGCCTTAAAAAAGGGTCTTCTAGCTGGCTGTAGTGGTGCTCACCCTTAATCCTAGCACTCAGGAGGCAGAGGATCTACAGAGGCCAGCCTGGTCTACATAGTGAGTTCCAGGGCAACCAGAGCTAAGAAACCGTATCTCAAAAGTAATAAAAACTGGGGGTGGGAGAGATGGCTCAGAGGTTTAGAGTACTGGCTGGTCTTCTAGAGGTCCTGAGTTCAATTCCCAGCAACCACATGGTAGCTCACAACCATCTGTAATGAGATCTGGTGCAGTCTTCTGTCCTGCAGGAATATATGTATGCAGAATAAATAAATAAATCTTAAAAAAAAAATAATAATAAAACTAAAGTCTCCTAAGGAGCCCGATCAGCTGCGGAAGCTCTCTTGTCTAGTCCTGAGTTTCCACACAATTGGGAGGACCCAGGTTCAGTTCCCGCCCCCCACAAGGAAGCTCACAGCTGTCTGTAACTCCGGTTTTGGAGGATCTAGTAAGAGTGAAATGCAGAGAAAGGGAAGTCACTCGATGTGGTCACACTGGGAAGGGGAACAAATCAATGGACGTTCCAGGCCGATGGAGTGGTGGTAGTGTTGAGGTGAGTTAGGTTAAATAGAAGGCAAGAGGTGTGCATTCCTGGTCAAGCTCTTAATGTGTCATTAGCTCAGCTCCTGGCCTGTCTCGTGTTGTCAGAACCCTGTGACCTGCCTGTGTGGCAAGTTCCTTCTTTTACTGGTACCACAGGCTCCAGCTTTTCCCTTCCTCAAGCATGGAATGCCAGGGGGAATCCCAGTTCCTTGGGGCACATTGTCTCAATTTCCTGCTAGTCAGAGGGAGGTCTCTTTAGAATCCCTTCACTCCCACCTGAGAACTGTAATAACTAGTTGCCCTAATCTGGTAACCTTTTATCCCCCCTGCCTGTCTTCAGTGTGAAGGCTAGAGGGGACCAAGACGGAAATGGCTCTTTTAATCTTAACACAGTATCTAAAGGATTACCTGTGAGCTAGCCCATGGTATTTAAAACACACAGTATACCCTGACAGGAGCCAGTGGTCCTGGGAGATAAGGTTATTTGTTTGTTCAGGTAGCCTGAGTCCCTTGATGGGGAGCAAGGACAGAGACCAGCTCCTTTTTCATGTGTACCGGGGCTAGGTGCTAATGGTGACCCATTAGACGAGACACTGGAACGAAGAGGCTCTCTGATCTGCTGCTATAGGCATTCTAGCATTGGAGACTGTATTTGACAACTTGACTGAGAATTTGTAAATCCACAAGTGCCTTCACTGTCTGACTTCCTAGGCACTCAGTCGGAAAACAGCTCCGCCACAGTGTACGGCATCCTGGCAGGACTTCCTGTCTTCTTCCCGATTCCTGAGCCTGATGGTTGTAAGTCTGGAATCAAATGTCCCATCCAGAAAGACAAGACCTACAGCTACCTAAATAAACTGCCCGTGAAGAGTGAATACCCCTCCGTAAGTAACACTTTGCTTGATAAAACCGGAAGCCCTCAGGCTGGGTTGGACATCTGGAGGCTGGAAGTAAGCCGGAGGGACTGGGGCAAAGGGCTTCTCATTTCTGGTGAAGCTGAAAAGGCCTGAGAGAGAGGAGATAGGTTTGAGGAACCCAAGGATGCCATTTTTATAGACTGAATCCTCACATAGGACCTCCCTGTGTAGTGGTGACATTATTTCTGACTTACAACTGAAGAATTTTAAGCTCTGATGTCTGGCCAGGACAGACAGGTGGTGGCGCACACCTTTAATCCCAGCACTCAGGAGGCAAAGGCAGGCAGATCTCTGTGAGTTCGAGGGTAGTCTGGTCTACAGAGTGAGTTCCAGGACAACCTCCAAAGCTACAAAAAAGCCTTGTCTCAAAAAAATTAAAAAGAAAGAAAGAAAGAAAGAAAGAAAGAAAGAAAGAAAGAAAGAAAGGAAAGATGTCATGTACTACAGAGTCCAAGGCTACTTTACCAAGAAGTCCTAGTGACTTAGTAGGTCTCCTAGTCCAGAGCCTGTGCACAGTTAAAAGATTTTAGCCAGCTAACAAATAGTTAAAGTTGTCTTGGTAGCATCTTCAGGGCTCTGGTTTCTCCTCTGTGCTCTTGACAAAAGACCAGGGACAGTTAGTAGAGTCTCCTTGGAGGATGCTCCCTCTGCCCACAGTCTGCTTTTTCTCCTTCCTGTCCCTCAGGCAGTGAGTGCTACAGTGGTCCTCAGGTAGGGATCATGGGAAAAAGTGAACTCTATAAAGCAATTGCTCTTTTCCCATAAATAGCTACTTAGTTGTTTTGTTCTGGAATTGTGTTGAGATGAGATCTCACTTGGTACCCCAGGTTGGTTGGCCTTGAACACAAGGCCTGTCTCAGCTCCCAAGTGCTAGAATTACAGGCATGTACTACCAATCTTGGCAGGATGGGTTTTTTTTTTTTTTTTTTTTTTTTTTTTTTTTTTTGGAAGCCAAGTAAAACCCAGGTGCAATCTTTTCTAGAAAAGGGGCGTAATTAACAGACTTTCTAAGAAAACTAAAACCTAAAGTCTGTGTTTAAGGCAGTGGTTCTAAACCTGTGGGTCATGACCTTCTTGGGGTTAAACAGCCCTTTCACAGGGGTAGCCTAAGACCATCAGAAAACACAGATATTTACATTATGATTCACAACAGTAGTACAATTACAGTTATGGAGTAGCAAGGAAAAGAATTTTATGGTTGGGGTTATCACAACATGAGGATTGTAATAAAGGATCACAGCGTTAGGAAGGTTGAGAACCCCTTTTTTTAAGGGTTGTTGGAGACCATAAAGGTTTTGGATGGCTAGCTAGTTCACAACTTCAGCAGCAGAGATCTGTCAAAGCCTGACTCTCAGTAGGTACTTTACATTTAGTTTGAAAACCACCTTAAGCTGTTAAACACCAAGTTAAACAGTAACATGTACAAATCTTGCAAACAAAGCCAAGTTCTCAAGTATGTGCATGTTATTGCTCCCCAAATGTTACATTATGAAGACAGTGGTAGTCACTAATGGCAGGCAGAATCGTCCCCCCCTCTCCACAGGTGGTGCTGGAGGGGTCGTCATTAGAGAGAAATAGTGATAAAATGGGAAGAAGTAAAGCAATTGCCCCCCCATAAAGAGCTACTTTATTACAAATAGAAGGGGTGGCCTAGACAGGTGGCTCAGCAGTTAGTACTTGCTGCCCTTCTAAGGACCCAAGTTGGTTCCCAGCTGCTGTGTGGCAGCTCATGGCTCTCTAACTCCAGCCCTCTTCTGGTCTCCAAGAGCATTGCATGCAAATGATGCTGAAATACTTGCAGACCAAACACTCAGACACTGCCCATCCTGGTGGCTCATTAATTTTTTTTTTTTTCCCTAAGGCGTGTTGATACACATCTTTAATCCCAGCATTCAGTGGGCAGAGACAGGAGGGTCTCTGAGTTCAAGGCCAGCCAGGGCTACATAATTAGAAGGGACAGTGGCTCACATTCCAATGCTTAGAAGGCTTAAGCAGGAGGATTGCTTTAGGTTGAAGGTAGCCTAGACTGTTGTTGATTTTTTTTTTGTTTTGTTTTGTTTTACTCTTTTCTCTTTTAGGGGCCCACCACCCAGCTCCCAAATAAATCACATAGAGGTTTATTCTTGCTTATGAACACCCAGCCTTAGCTTGGCTTATTTCTAGGCAACTTCCCTTAAGTTACCCTGTCTACCTTTTGTCTCTGGGCTTTTACCCTTTTCTACTTCGTATATCTTTTCTTTCCTTCCTACTCCATGGCTGGCTGGGTGACTGCCCTCTGGCATCCTCTCTCCTTCTCCTTTTCTTGTTCCTCAATCCCAGGTTAATTTTATTTACTCAAACAAATATAACATGGCTTTGCATCATTAACAAGCAGCAAAGGAAAACGTAACACAGCTTTCCACAGTTGAAATGATTTCCTACACTAAGCTGTTTAGTGAATCCCAGAGTTCAAGCTATCTGAAATGCAGAGTGAGACTGTCTCAAGAAACAAATAACAGCAATGACACAGCTCGTAGTTTGAACAAAGCAAGTCAAAGTCGAGATCTCAAATGAAGGGTATAATCAGAAATCAGCTTAAGATAAGAGCTGTGCGAGCTCATGTGCAATCCTAGAACTGGGCAGCATTGATGTACATTCAAAACAGCCTGTGTTGTACAGTGAATTCCAAGCCAGTGTGGGAGAGGAGAGGCCAAAGGGGTGAGGGTTGGGAGAACAGTTCAAGGAAGGTAACTTAAACTCTGTTGCTACACAGGGTGGTTATCCCTGAAATTATCCAGTTACACATGCCTTTGGACCAGTGATTCTCAACCTTCCTAATGCTACAACCCTTTAATATAATTCCTCATGTTGTGGTGACCCCACCACACACCATAAAATTATTTTATTGCTACCTCATAACTATAATTTTGCTATCATAATATAAATATCTGTCATATTCCTAATGGTCATAGGTAATATCTGTGAAAGTCAATACACACACACACATACACACACACACACACACACTCACTCACTCACCACCCCAAAGGGGTCACCATCCTTCATGCTTTGGCATTTTCATTTTTAGCTAACAAGAAAGTTTCTTTACATAGAAGAATCTAAGAGCTTTTATTTCCTATTTTCATAGTTCAAGTGGAAAAGGCTATAGAGGATTGTCAAATAAGTATTAAATTAAAAAAAAAATCTTTTCTTTTTTTTTTTTTTGTTAAGGTGCTATTTACATGCCTCTGATCTATCTTGACACTCAGTAGCACACACCTGTAAGCTCAACACTCAGGCAGAAATAGGACCAGAAGTTTGAGGCCGGGCTGAGTTACATAGCAAGTTCTGGGTCAGCTAAAGCTGTGTAACAAAAACTGTTTCAACAAATGGAGGGAGGGAAGAAAAGGGTTCTAGAGTTGCGTTTGATAACAGGTGTGGTGGTCTACCTATAATCCCAGGATTCAGGAGCTGATGTAGAGACAGTGTCACAAATACTACATAGTAAATTCAGGCCTAATCTGGATTAGCTATGAAGAGTGTATATTTAAAAAAAGAAAAAGGAGGAGGCTGGAGAGATGGCTCAGAGATGAAGAGCTCTGGCTATTCTTCCAGAGGACCTGGGTTCCATTCCCAGCATCCACATGGCAGCTCACAACTGTCTCTAACTCCAGTTCTGTGGATCCAACACCCTCACACAAACATACATGCAGGCAAAACATGGCACACATAAAATTCAAAATAAATACATCATTTGAAAGAAAACAGAAAGGAGTAGCTAGAGAAAGATGGTTCAGTGGTTAAGAGCACTAGCTGCTCTGCTGAGGATCCAGGTTCAGTTCCCAGCACCAAGAAGCAACTCACAACATTTGTAACTCCAGTACCAGGGATGCAAGTCGTGTCCATACATACATTCAAGCAGGTGTTCATGCACATAAAATAAAATTGAGAAAAAAGTTTAAACAGAAAGGAAGAGGAGAGAGGGAAGAAATATTATACTTGAAAAATTACATTGATAAATTGGACTAGCTTGCATGACCAATGAGTTAAAACTTGGTTCTTCTTTGGAGTTTAAGACCCAAGATTAAGACCCAAGATAGTGGACATATCCTAATCTGGCTTCATGACGATGGGACGTAGAAAGGAAAACTTAGGACTGAAGTTGCATACTGAAGTCAGTTATGGATAAAAGTCAGGTCCTGGTTTCATTTTTCCCAATTCCTATTTTATTTTATTTTATTTTTTCCAGTTAAAGCTGGTGGTGAAATGGGAACTTCAAGACGACAAAAAGCAAAACCTCTTCTGCTGGGAGATCCCTGTGGAGATCAAGGGCTAAACTCTGTGTCTGGGGGGGTGGGGGTGGTAAGGCCATGGCTGGAGAGAGGGGAAGAAACAGAAGAGAAATCAGACCTGTAATTGAACCAGTGCCGGATGAACAGAATTTCAAGACTGCTACTTTATGCCTCTCAATCTCCAGAAACGTATCTGTGACCCTCTCTTGAGAGCTCAAGCTCTTGTCCCGTCCATAGCCTTCCTTGAGGCCACAGAACAGAAGAGGGATACTGGGATAGAGTAGTCTCCATGACTGTTTGCTGTTGGGTTAAGGTCGTGATACTGGGATAGAGTAGTCTCCATGACTGTTTGCTGTTGGGTTAAGGTCGTTCGCCCCACCAGACAGGTCGGGAGGAGGTTGCTTAGGGATGTCAGATAACTTGACCCAGGGCTATGGATCCACTGTGAAGGATGGTTTCTGAGAGACTCCCCTCTAGCTGGGGGGTATTACCTCTACAGGTACCTCGTCTCTTAAGTGCCTCCTGAGTCCCGTGCACCTGGCTAGTCAGTCTACTGAGTCTTGATAGTACCCTCGGCCCCGATGCTTCAACAATAGTGACCACCTTTCCAGCTTCCAGAGACTGGCTGAGAGGTGTTCTACAGCAGAAACTTAGCTCTGGATGCTTAGCTCTGCTTCTTTGTAGCTAGCTCTTGTTTCTTGTTCTTTGGTGGTTTTCATTAAAGACAATACTTGCTTGCAGGTGCTTGTTTTGTTTGTTTTTTAAATAGTATTAACTTGTATCCTCTGTGTTCACTGGAGATGGAGCCAGCTTTCTGATAAATACTTACTTGTGATTCTTGCATTTGTGTTCAGGGTGTGGTTGCCTGTTTCTTCCAGACAGGTCTATAGTAGGCAGGCACCCAGTGGAAACTGCCCCCCTTTCCTCAATTTCTTTTTCATGAGCTAGACCGTATCTGTAGAAAGTGACATTGGCTGGGCACTGGTGGCACACACCTTTAGTCCCAACACTAGGGAGGCAGAGACAGGCGGGTCTCTGTGAGTTCAAGTCCAGCCTGGTCTACAGAGGGAGTTCCAAGACAGACTCCAAAACAACAGAGAAACCCTGTCTTGAAGAAGAAAGAGAGGAAGGAAGGAAGGAAGAGATATTTTTCTGCTCTGCTGCCTCACACAGTCTTACACCACCAAGCATGCTTGAGCAGTGGACACTACCTAATGACTAGCAACACCTGAAGAGGAGTGAAGGGGGTGGAGACTGGGACGTCACCGCCCTCATAGGTGGTGTCTCTGAGGATGCAGGAGGGTTGTGAGTTCCAAGCCAGCCTGAGCAGGCATGAGCAGCATACTGAAATCCTGTTCAAATAAAGAAATAGATCTAACCCACAAGAGGCAGCAAGGTCCTGAGCTCCAGGTAAACCTGAACTGTATACCGAACCCACGATCCCACCCAAATCCAGGCTTGGTGGCCACATCCATAATCTCAGCACTGTAAGTCAGAGGCAGGAGGACTACTGCAAAGTTTTGAAACCAACCCCATGTCTATAATGAGTTCAAGGCCAGCCTAGGCTAAATGAGACCCAATCTCAAGGGGAGACAGAGAAGAAATGTCATAGCAGGTAACAGTTTGTTGATTAAATCTCGGAAGTAACAAGAATGGTCATAGGTCTCAGTACTTTTATTTAGTTAGTTAGTTACTGTTTTTCAAGACAGGGTTTCTCTGGTTTTAGAGCCTCGATGTGTAGACCAGGCTGGCCTCGAACTAACAGAGCTCCACCTGCCTCTGCTTCCCAGGTGCTGGGATTAAAGGTGTGTGCCACCAACTCCCAGCTTTTTTTTTTTTCTTTTAATTTTTGAGACAGGGTCTGGTGTGTAGCTCAGGCTGGCCTTGAATCTATAATGTATCAGAGAACCTTGACTTCCTGATCTTCCTGCTTCTGCCTCCTAAGTGCTGGAATGAGCCGTGCATAGAATCCAAACACCGGCGAGTTTCCCAGGAAAACCACCAGGGGGCAGCAGTGGGTCAGCAATGAAGTTTTTAATGGCAGCGGTTCACCCACCTTACTATCTGATGCCTTTTGTGTATCCTTTCACACTGAGCCCACCCTGTCTTCCCAGGTAGATGCTGTGTGAGTCACCTGAACTCCAAAGGCAGCTACCTGCTGGAGGTCATTGCTTCCAACTGCCTGTGGCTATGTTTTGGCCCTGCCAGTTAATCAGCTCTGAATGTGAGCTTTAAACTTCATTTCTCCATGCTTCAGTTTGTTTTCCAAATTCACTGGCCAGGTTAGTGCAGTACATATAAAGTGAAATGAGTCAAGGCATGTAATCTACATTCTTGGTCCATGCGAGCCGCTGTGCTGGGCTGCTTTTATCTAGAAATAGGAAAATGGGGAGGTTCAATCTGATGTGTGGTGATGTGTCTCCTCAGAAAAACAAAGCTATCTTCTTTGTGTGGGAACTTGCTGAGGGGCCAAAGAAAGAGGAACTCAGTTCTGTGTTTGCTGACTCCCTGTTCCCAAAATATTATTCTTGCCTTTTTAGCTGCATAGGAGCTAACGGCTCCCAACCCTTAATTTCATATTCCTCTGCCCTCTTGTGAAAAAAAAAAATAGAAAAAAATGTTATTGTATGTCCTTGTGTCCTTAAGATCAGAACAGGAGGGAACCCAACAGCTTAGGACTGTTTGCCTACCAGCCATTGGGAGGCTCGCTGGAGCCTGCAGTTACGAGATAGGTAGGGCTCCCATAGGAGGATTAGTTTGAAAGGTCATCTCTACAGAAAGTTCACAGTCATTAACACAGAAGCATTGGATCCTAGGTATACAAAGGGTTCTACACTTTCCAATGCCAGTCTCTGACTTTCTGAGCAATTCTTACATCAGGGGTTCTCAACCTTCCTAATGCTGCGACCCCCAACCACAAAATTATTCTTGTTGCTACTTCATAATTGTCATCTTGCTACTGTTATGAATTGCAGTATAAATCTGATATGTACAGTACTGATAATATGATCCCAAAAGGGGCTGAGACCCATAGGTTGAGAACCACTGCATGAATCCAAGGTAGGTAAATACCAAGACTTGTTATAGTCAGATCTTCATGCTAATAAAAACCAACAAAGGCAGAGTAATTTCCAATCCTGTATGCTTGAAATTGTGTGTGTGTGTGTGTGTGTTAAGAAACAGGACTAGGGATGTGGCCTAATGGGTAAAATGCTTGCTGAACAAGTATGGGGGCCCCATCTTCCCTCCACAGAACCCACTTTAAAAGCCAGATGTGGGGCTGGAGAGATGACTCAGTGGTTAGCACGCTGACTGCTCTTGTAGAGGGCTAGGGTTTGATTCCCAGTACCCACATGGCAGCTCACAGCTGTCTGTAACTTCAGTTCCAAGGGATCTGACACAATCTTCAAGCATTTCATACACATAGTGAGTGCATGGACTTAACATACAGACAAAACATACATATTCCAAAAATAAAACTTCTCTGAAAAAAAAAAAAAGTGCCGGCTATAATCCCAGCATCCTGTACTCTAGCCTGCTGTATACGATGACAAAGGACATCTGTCTCAAACTTAGACTGACATCCAAGGTTGTCATCTCCATACAAGGGCAATGGCATGCTAATGTCCTCACCAAATACAAATAACAGTAAGTAGTAGTCCAAGCATGGCACATGCCCAGAGTCCTGGCATTAGGCAGTAGAGGCTAGAGGATACGAAGTTTAAAGTCATCCTTGGCTACCTAGGAAGTTCAAGGCCAGCTTGGGCTACATGAGATCCTGTCTCAGGAAGGAAGGTAGGAAGGAAAGAAGGAGAAAATATGATTATGATTCACAGAGATTGATAATGCAGAGGAGTCCCTGAGGATGCCCTGAGCCTAGGAAAGGACTTGAAGTGGGCAGGGTCCACTAAGAAAAGATGATCTTCAATTATCTTTTTCTTTAGAGAATCCAAGAAGAGTGCTTCCATTAGGTTGATTTGGTGACAAAGTTGTGGTACCCAGAAACAACACTGGTTTGGAGTGGAGCAGTGTATCGAAAAGTCTAGTAGGGTGAGCATTGTTTGAAAGAAATGCTTTTCCCAGTAGCCCTCTGAGGGGAGATGGAACCAGGAATACAGATTAGTGTGTGTCGTGGTGAAAGGCCTAAGGTGTTCAATTGTGTGTGTTGGAAATGTGATTGGATGGTGCTGTGTGATTCAAAGTAGAAAGTGCTTGTGGTTTATCCAAATGTTGACCAAAAGTCTTGATAGGAGTTGAATCATTTGGGGTAGTTGTATCTTTTCCTCGGCAGAGGATCCCTGGGCCTAACCCTCAGCTTGTGTAAACTGAATCCAATTCACTTACAGCTGTCAGTTGACTAGCAACTAGATGGTCTGAGTGTTGGTTGCCATGGAAACAGCTAAAAGGCCCATTGCCATAGGAACCTACCATGTTCTCCAGACCAGGGGCTTGGTTGCTGGAAAGACCCTGAGGGACCGAGGAGCTGAGTTGTGTGAGTGAGGGTCCCACCAGAGGATGGGTGATATGTGTGAGAGCCTGGCCAGTTCCTCCAGTCTCCCACACCTGGTCACAGAGCACAAGTGTCCCTGTGGACAGTGAGGGCACAGATTCTGGAACAGTGTGGTCATGCCAGTACTATCACCCTCCCCTCCAGGATGGTGCTCCAGGAGCTCTGAGAGGCTAAATCTTGCTGTCTCTGATGGGCCCCTCTCCACAAACCCTGTGTCCCAGATATATAGCCAGCAGGTGAAGGGATCAGTTTAACTCTGCTTGCCTTCGAGTCAGGCCACTGAGGAACTTGGCAGGCAAAATGGATGGCTCTAGCCTTGAACGTGGCAGACACTGGGCATAACAAACCAAAAAGCAGAAGGACAGGCCGGCAGCAGCATTCTCAGCGTGAAAGAAGCATCACCATGCTCTCTGCAACCCATGCACCCTCCTGCCTCTCCCAGGTGGATCAAAGTGTATGATCCACGATTTGACGGGGCTCCTCAATGTGTCTGAGCGATGGTCACAAGAGTCTTGTTTCACAGTGAAGGGGAGTAACTCTTCAGCCACTGTTTAGTGTCAAGGGAGAACAAAAAGAAAGCTTTTTTGAGGCTGTGCCATTAGCCACCATTGCTATGAATGTAGAAATTAAAGGAATTAAACAAGGTCACCTCCAGGTCTCAGCCTGAACTGCCTATGGTTCACTGGTGACACGGAACATGGTGGACAGACTGATACAGCTCATTTACCTGTGAAAGTGAGAAAAACCTTAGGAATCCAAAGGGGCTCGGGACTGAGACTAAGGCCAAGAAGACTTTTGATGTTTGGTTTAGGGGACTTTTCGTCTCATCCTTCAGGACTCTGAGATGTGCGGTGTTCTTACGCCTAATCTGGCCTTCTGCCTGGAGTTTGTTGGTCAGAGTCTCTCCCAGGGGGCTTTACAGCCTAGAAGCCTGGCACCAGAGAGCCAGATGCCACCAGAATCTCTGGGAAAAGACTTCACTTTGGGAAGCAGTCATTGTTTACACATTGGATTTTAGTTGGCTTTGCATCTCCCTGCCAACTCTTTCCAGTTGGTTGACTTTGGATAACTCCTAGGGCCTCCCTCAGTCCCCACCTGCCCTCCCAGGACTGACATTAGTGTCATCATTGTCCTTGAAGAAGAAGCTGCTCAGAGGCCTGGAACCACAGGTATGTGCCTTGCCTTTGGCTTCCTTTCAAGCCCCATGGCCTCCCAGGAGCTTCACCTCCA